CCCGGCTTTGTCCCCTCCCCTGCCCCTCTCTTAACCGACATTACTTTCATACCAATGTATGTTGAATGCCCCCCATGCCTCATGCCTCACGCCCGTGCACATCATGTGCCATTTATAGCTCGCTACATAAAGATTTTCCTGCGCCACAACTTCTACTACTACTGCATCCAATGCTCGAGCCCTAACTACCCACCATCAAGCCACTTACATGTCCAACAATTTGTGCGCGCTTCCTTCATAATGTTATGACCAACTTACCAAACATTGGTACAATTTATAAGACATCAACTTCCATGAAAATATCCTTTTATTTGCTACCAATACTTCCAAGGCATCCTTTTCTATATGTATACTGTAGAAGATCTCAAGCATCATCTCCTAAAACTTATATAATCCTGTCTACTCCTGTTCAGCATCCCGCTGAGATTATGACTTCAGATCTAAACCTTCCTATGATGCTTACTGTGGTACAATGAGATAAAGAAGGCATATCTAAAGCCTTATTATGCTTATTATAACACATTTATTCTCCCATGGTTACATTTATCTATGTTTTTTTCCCCCTTTTATAATCATCCTATACATCTCTAAATAGGCATTGTTATTCAATGAATATTATCATCCAATTCTCTCCTCGGCAATGGTAACCCCAGTCATTGGCACACAGATTTTTATTATGGCTTCCTGATAAGATAGGTGACCTTCACCAAGATGAGTTTGGAATGGCAAAAATTGTGATGGTGTTGTAGATGCGTTAGTCCAACTCAAAAATAGATGAACTATAAGATTGATGTGCAGTCTAGTCTACATATAAGTTTGAAACGAAATTCTAATAACAAACCTCTTAACTAAAAATCCGTCGAGCTTACCAGGTTGAAACATTTGAGTTTCAGGGTCAAATCTGGCCTAAGGACTAATTATCCAATTTAAAATTGGATTGACTGATGGTTTGACCATGCTGACAACCCTTAAATGAAAGACATTCAGTATACAGATAGCCCCCGGGAACCTTCAGCAAATCACAACAACACAATTACTCGCCTACCCTGTCCACTGTGTATGCTGCTAACCTCTCTTCCATTGATGCATGGAAACCAGCATACACAACCGCTTTGACAATTCTTACTCTAAATGTTGAGTAGAAGATCAAAAAAAGCCTACCTGAAGAAATGCTTTATTCACTTTTGGATCATATCATTACGCTTCTGCTATTATTAGAATGGAGGATTTAAATTTTAATGTACGCTCTTTTAGAAAAGAAATATACGAACCAAAGAGAAAACGATCCTGGAGACATTTGTTTGAAAAATGCATTTAAATATGCATGCTTGAGAACAGTTAAATGGTGAAATTAAATGAAAGCTTTTTTTAGATGGGCATCTATGTAGTCTTACAATAAATCCTCATTATAAAAATACAAATGGTTTTGCTTAAAATAATGTTGTAGGATATATGCTGTCAAGATATAATACTATTGGATCAAAATTACTGCAAAGAGAGAGATTTAATACTAGAAAAATACTTGAACTTATAAAAAAGAATATGGAAAGAAAAAGGAATTTCGTATGTCATGGGAGGGATTGAACCAAAAGAGACCCCTTATTAATTTTATAATTGTTTCAAAAATTAACTAATGTTAAGTACATGTATAAATTATGAAAGAAAATATAATTATAGATTCTTTATTTATACTTTGATTAAAGAAATGATAATGACAATTGACCATTCAAATGTTGTTCAAGTAAATACTGATAATGCTCCAATTTGTAGGATACCAAGTTTGCTTATTGAGCAAACATGACACTTAGTGTTGTGCATATCCTCATCCTGCCAAAAATATTTATGTTTATAAAAATATTTATGTTGATGAGATCACTTACAATAAATTTAATTGGATCAATTCAATTGATGGAGATGCTTTATGATAAAAAATTTTATTAGTCATCCGATGAGGGTTTTCTATTCTCGAACAATTTCTCCACATGGAATGCTTGTTTTGGCTACAATTTGTTTTCCTCTAAATATTGTGATGTTAAGAAAGCTTAAACAATTTTAAAATATATTTCAGATAATGATGATTAGTGAGAAATTCTAATATTATCATGAGAATGATGCTGAAATGGTAAGATTTGTGAAACAAAAATTATTAGATGATTAGTGGTGGGATAAAGTCCATTACATTCTTTCTTTTACTAGGCTTAGTTAAAATATGCTCAAAGTTGTGGATATAGATTACTTGTATTTGATTTATGAGATGCGGATTCAATATTATTAAAAGTAAAATAAGTAATTTATAAACATGAAAAAATACCAAATCATGAGGATTTAAGTTTCTAATTTGTTACTTATTTCATTTTGAAGGATAAGTGGATGAAAAGTGACACATCTTTATATTGCTTGGCTTACTCTTTAAATCCAAGGAAAATTACATTCTACTCAGAAAGATGTGAAAACATCAAATTTCAGAAAAACTTGCTTGAAACAATATTTTTCAAATAAGAAAAGATAAATATAAATATGGTACTTACAAAATCCTTTGGATATCTCGATGAATTTGAAGATTAATCTTTGAATCTATTCGTGATAGGAAGATGATGGATCCAAAAATGTGATAGTTGATTCATGGAGCATCATCAATTCTCTTTAAATTACTGTCATAAGACTTCTTAGTTGAGGTTTTTTTTCCCCTTATTATGTGAAAAATTGAAGCATGCATTCATACAATAAATGATGAGAATAAAATCACTCCATTATAGCTAAAGATTTAGTTTATGTGCGTACCAATCTTCATCTCATATCAGGAAATATCCCATATTATATGGAAGATGATAACAAAATGTAGGATATTGTAAGAGAGAGATTAAGTCCCTCAATAATATGGTAATTTTAAAGATATAGAATTTTTTTTTCTGGACCAAAATTAGAAGCTTAATGATGATAAAAACGGAGAAAGTTGTTATGATTGTGATTAATTTTTTAGCAAAATCAAATAATGATGAAAAAAAAGAACACAACAAAGATCACATCAGAGTGGACACAAGTTTATGATTTAATGATATCCAGCTGTGTTCACAACTGTACAAACCAAATATTCCAAAAAATTTAAAAGAAAAGTACAGCATAAATGTTTTATAAATAATAAGATAAAAATAAAAATATCACTTTCCCTATGTCAATCACTAAGAAGGAACGCAATCACCTAATATGACAGTAGGGTTGAATGTGGAAAAGAAAACAACGATTGGGAAGGGAAGGTGGCACACCAAAGCTCTGTGAGTGCAGGGGAGAGTTCCATCGAACTCTCATTTGCCCGGTTCAAAATTTTCAGGGCAAGGCGGAAGGCTTATAAGGTAAAATATTTAAATATTTAAGTTATTAATAATAATTAACTTAAATTAAATTATGAAATATAAATTTTAATTAATTCAAATAATTTTCAGAAAATCCTAATGTTTGACATAAAAAATTAGATTTTAACTGAAGAAAATGATAATTTGATATCGTACAGGTGGGTAGTATACTATTATTTATAATAGTTTTACTTATATACACATATCTTTACCATCTTCCAGTGTTTTTTTTTAAATGCAAAATTTAATATTTCTTTTAAATGTTAAATGCAAGAAAAGAAATAAAATGAAGTATGCATGCAAATGACAGTCACCCTTAAACGGTACTGGCAGGGAAATACCATGTGCCAGTGCACGGAAATAAAAATGAAAATGAAAATAGTTGTCTGTCTTTATGATGGGTTGAAAATATTTTTTAAAAACACATGTTTAAATGGTGACTCCCAATAATAAAAAGTACAACAAAAATAAATGAAAATAAATGAAATTGTTTTCTCTTCCGCTTTTTTTAACTGGGCAAGGTCTTTTATTATTTACTGCTCTTTTACAAAGTAAAATGTGAATTATTGCAATTTAGAAATATTTGCTTCCTGAGTAGTGTTAACTCAAAGCTTTTGTTGCTAATATTTTACAAGAAAATAACCTCTATACTAGATGAACCACAAATAATATGTATCCAAAGGCCGAAGAGTGCAAACTGATAGATATTATATGTGGTTTTAATTTCTTTAAGATGTAAATATTTAAATATGAATAAATTGTTGAAATTGTGTAAGTATTAAAATGTATTTTTTTGGTAGAGGATGATAGATAATAAATTATAGAAGCTAAATAAAAGATGATAGATTGAAATTTAATTGAGTTATATAAAGAAATTTTTTTCTTTATATCTTAACAATTTCTCGCAAAAAAAGATATATTTTATAATATACCTATTTAGTGGTCAGTGTCTGAAACTCTCTTTACATCACATATATATCATCATTCATATATAATAACTGAGGTTATGAAAAAGCTCAACTTCATAGTAAATATTATTTTTGTAATTATACTGAAAATAATTTCTACTCCTTTCATTTGAAAAGCTTTAAAATATGATCTTCAAGCAAGTTGTGTATGAACCGATACTTGAGTTGAATGTGATTTGTTTGGGAATGAAAGGCAACATTTTTTATCAAGTGAATGACATTTTTACTATTACAAAATAGAGTGTTAGTTTTTATGGTTGGTTTAATTCTTCTATATAGCCTTTCAGTCAAATTAGTCTTTGTTGGTTTCAACGATTTTATGTATTCAGCTTTTATTGCTGATGATGTAATTATCTTCTGCAGCTATAAGTCCTAACAGACATAGGTGCCAAATGAGGAGTAAATATACCCCATAGTAACTTTTTTTTTGTATTTAGGTCTCCTCCTAGTTTAGCATCAACATATACTTATTATTTCAAGACATTCGTTCAAAATTTTATAAGTGATTAATTATATCTTTCAAGTACTGTCTGATTCACTTTATGATCTTTTCGTATTTCCTTGAAGTTAATATATTTTAACTAATAGCTCCCACCATATGAGGAGCATCTGATCATATGCAAATCATTACATGCATCAAAGAGTCAACTACTCATAAATGAACTTTAGCCATATAATTTTTATCTTCATTTGTGCTCTAGTGAAAGCTTGAAGTGACTTGTAAGTAGTGTAATCACTATTTTTTCTTTCATCATATTAGAACTATCAAAAATCTTCTCAGTGTATTGAGGCTACAATAAATTCAAAAAATATCTAAAGCTTTATCTTCGTCTACTCTCATTCCAATAATCTTTCTGGCTTCCCATAAGTTATTTATGTCAAATTCCTTTGATAATTAATTTTTACGATTATTAATGTTGTGAATTCTTGCCCCGCCAAATACCAAGAGAAAATTCCAAAGAACTTTTGCGACTCTTGATCACCAAGAACACAAAGAACCTGCAAAGCTTTAAGGAAATGGACAGCCTTTCAGTTCTTGTAGAGCCTTCAAGAAACGAACACCTGCATGCAGGTTGAGATCTTGTTACTCTCTCTTCAAGAACCTGGGCTGCCGAAAGAGGAGTGGGGAAACAGGGATAAGAAAACTGCAGGAAGAAAATGTGACAAAGACACAAACACAAGAACACAACAATTACGTGGTTCGGTCAATAGATCTACATCCATGGAGTGAATCAACTATCAATCCACTAAAGCAAATAAGAATTACAAGGCTTGCTTTTACAGTGAGGAATGGGCAATCCTCTTGATTTCTCTCTAAGACTCCTCCCTCAATTCTTGAAGCCTCTCCCCTTCTTCTTTTAGACTGATTTCCTTCCTCTTCTTGGTCTTCTTGGTCTGATTTCTATCTTCTTCCTTATAATGGCCTCTCCCCTCTACAAGCCTATCTTCTTCCCTTGTAGTAGCCTCCTCCCTACAAGCCTATCTTCTCCCTTGTAGGTTTATTCCTTCTCTACTACAAGCCTCTCCCTCATACATTTATAAATAGATGAGGCCCCCCGAAGTAGACCATATAAGCTCACAAGAAAATCACAAGTATGTCATTACCATAATTAAGAATCATATTATAACAATTCTCCACATTGACTCTTAATTATAAAGCTTCATAATAGAGATTCCCTCCACCTGTCCAACTGCACCTGCCGCGACTCTACCTGCGACAAAATTTGCGAACAATGCTGGTCGAGCACCACCTGTCACAATTGCATCTGCCGCAATTCCTGCAACAAACTTGCGAACACCACTGACCGAACACCACTTGTCGCAATTGCACCTGTCGCAATTGCTCCTGCCGCAACTTCTACAACAAACTTGCGAACTCCTGCCGCAACTGCACCTGTCGCAACTCCTACGACAAACTTGCGAGCTTCTGCCGCAATTGCACCTGTCGCAATTCCTCGTGCGACAAACTTGCGAACTCCTGCCGCAACTGCACTTATCGCAACTCCTCGTGCAAAAAACTTGCGAACAACGCTCGTCGAGCACCACCTATCGCAACTGCACCTACCGCAACTCCTGTCGAAACTGCTCCTGCCGCAACTCCTGCAACAAACTGCACCTGTCGCAACTCCTGCAACAAACTTGCGAACTCCTGCCGCAACTCCTCGTGCGACAAACTTGCGAACACCGCTCATCGAGCACCACCTGTCGCACAAAAGCCTCCAGCAAAAGAAATTCCCAAGAAAATTAGGAGGAAATATTCCTTCATGCATTCATTCCACAACAAAGAAATATCCAATATTTCCTTTCTTCAGCTGCAGGAGATTCCTCAGATTCCTTTTCTTTTTCCAATAAGGATCCGCACAAGAAATATTCCTCCCCTTGATGTGTTCCTCTACTTCCAGTCGAAGAACCAAGGAAAGAAAAAACTTCTTTCTTCAGCTTTCAAGAAAAGACCGAACCCTTCCTCCCCTGCGAAATTTCCTCCTGCAAGATTCCTGGCGAACCCTACCGCGATGCACCTCCTGTTGCGCGAACTCTTCTGCTGAGCCCGTGTCGAAGCCTCCCTGGCAGAATCGCAAGGCGAATCCTTCTGTCGCGCAAAACTCTCCGACTCTCCGAATCTGTCGCTGCCTGGTCCGATATGCTCCGCCTGTCCGCAGAACTACGGAAGCCTCTGTTCGCAAGCAGTCGTAAATTGCCGAGCGGGCTTCTCCTGTCGCGAGATAATTCCGCGATTCTGAATCGAAGCCCCCCTGTCGCGAATCCTTCTCCTGTCCGCAGTCTTCTTTGCCCGAACCTGCGGTTCCCGTAACTGCCGTCATCACTCCGAACGGCCGCCCAAAAAACTTCTTCTTGGGTCGAAGTCGTTCTTCTCGGTGAATTTCTCGATGTCGGATTTGGCGGTTGCCATTATCGTGGCTGAAATTCCCACAGACGGCGCCAATTATTGTGAATTCTTGCCCCGCCAAACACCAAGAGAAAATTCCAAAGAACTCCTGCAACTTTTGTTCACCAAGAACACTAAGAACCTGCAAAGCTTTAAAGAATTGGACAGCCTTTCAGTTCTTGCAGAGCCTCCAAGAAACGAACACCTGCCTGCAGGTTGCGATCTTGTTACCCTTTCTCTTCAAGAACCCGGGCTACCGAAAGAGAAGGGGAGAAATAGGGAAAAGAAAACTACAGGAAGAAAATGTGACAAGGACACAAACACAATAGCACAACAATTACATGGTTCGGTCAATAGACCTCGAGTGAATCAACTAGCAGTCCGCTAAAGCAAAGACGAATTACAAGGCTTTCTTTTACATTGAGGAATGACCAATCCTCTTGATCTCTCTCCCTTGAAACTACCTCGATACAAGATCTAAGACTCCTCCCTCAATTCTTGAAGCCTCTCCCCTTCTTCTTCTTCTTCTTAGACTGGTTTCCTTCCTTTTTTTGGTCTTCTTGGTCTTCTTGGTATGATTTCTATCTTTTTCCTTATAGTGGTCTCTCCCCTCTACAAGTCTATCTTCTTCCCTTGTAGTAGCCTTCTCCCTACAAGCCTATCTTCTCCCTTGTAGCCTTATTCCCCCTCTACTACAAACCTCTCCTTCATCCATTTATGAATAGATGAGGCCCCTCCAAGTAGACCATAGAAGCTCACAAGGAAATCACAAGTATGTCATTACAATAATTAAGAGTCATATTATAACAATTAATTTTGTTGAATTTGACATCTACAATCAATATATTATTAACATATAAAACCAAAATGATACAATCTTTTCCAATACCTTATACATTGCAACAATAATCATCAGTGCTGCTGTGAAATGCAATATTGTGCATGAATTCATCAAATTCGAGTGCAGCTTATTTCAAATCATATATGCCTTTATTAGGCTTTCAAGCTAGATTTTCTTGTTCATGTACGACAAACCTTGTCAGAATGAACCATACAGATACCTTCCTTTAGATTATAATAGAAAAAAAACACCTTGACATATTGCAAGTCTTCTGCAACTATCATACTAAGAACTAATAATATAATTGTTGCTTTAATCAAAGGAGATAAAGTTTCAATGAAGTCAATAACTTCCTTTCAATGGAAACCTTTCATCGAAAGCCATATATTGTACCTTTTTGCAGGCATTCTAACCTTTTTTATTTTATAAATCCTTTTCTTTCATAATGTTTTTTTTTTCTTTATGTAGCTTGGTTAATGTCCCCATGTTATGTTTTATAAAAATCGCTTCTTTTATTGGTAGCTCTCACCTACATGGATAATGAGCTAGTATAACTTCCACATCCATCAATAATCAACAATAATCTACTTTTGAGTTACAACTAGATATCAAACACACTGGGAATTAGGGTATATTTACTTCGTTAACATTTTCTCCTGATTAGTTTCTTTTCATGGAAGTAAGCTACACTAACCTTTCAGTTGAGCACAAACTAAAATATAAGCTATGCTATGTTGCAAGAGTTTACAAAAAAATTATACCAGGCGAAATGGGAACTCATCCCCTTCAAGCATGTGTGCTACTTGTCCCATCTTTGGTCTTTTTTGTGAATCCAAATCAACACAACGGAGGCAGACAAGCAAAGTCCTCTTCAAACCTCTTGGAGACGGCTGAATTTCAATTGATGGGTCTATAACATCTTCAACATGTTTAGTTCCAACCATTCCTCTAAACCATTCAACTAAATTCACCTGCATTGTTAATGACATCTATTAAGAGGATAGGTATGCCATGGCAAACTAAATATATTACTAGCAAACCATTCTCACCTCTCCAGCTGGTCTTCTATAGTCAACTGGGTTTCTTCCAGAAATTATTTCCATAAGTAGAACTCCAAAACTATAAACATCGCTGCTCTCATTAAGCAAGCCAGTTGAAGCATATTCGGGAGCTACATACCTATGATGCGTAGGTGATGGTATAGTTAAGAATAAGATAGTGAGAAGGTAAATCTGACAAAAAAAGGATGCTGGACTTGAACCACTTTTTGAGCAGTATTCATCATAAAGTTGGTAAAAGTAATCAAATTAGCGATGTGCATGGAGGACGTTAAACTAACCCAAAAGTTCCCATTACTCGAGTGGTCACAAAGTTTGAACCAGGTCCGAGGAGTTTGGCAAGTCCAAAGTCTGATACTTTCGGGTTCCATTGTTTGTCTAGAAGAATATTACTGGACTTTATATCTCTATGTACAACCTTGGGCTCCAAACCTTCATGCAAATGTGCTAATCTGCAACCAAAACACCAGTTCAAAAACATAAAAATAGCTTCACAATGTAATTTTGTCATCGTTATCATTATTAGCCTTATTCCAACAATTTGAATTTATCATTACGCAGTTGAATGGTGTATGAGTTGTGAAATGTATTTTTCACAAATTATTTTGAACCCATTTTAGCCATATAACTTTGTGTCTTCTCATTATCTTTCTAACCATTTGAATTTATCACGTCACTCAATGGGAGTATTTCTATCATTCGTTAATTTATCCATTTTAGTTTGTCACGTTCATTTCAGCATTTTATTTTCTGACACAACCAATTTAGATATTGATGACATTTTTATTGTCTAACATTCAAATCCATACAACATCACAGCCCTAATTTCAAATTTATAAAATAAAAAATAAAAAAAAGAAAGGAAAAACTCACGTAAACTTACCCTTTTGCTGTGCCAATGGCAATCTTCATTCTTACTTCCCATGTCAATGGACTAACGGGGCCAACATTTCCATGCAACCACTGTTCCAGATTCCCATTATCCATATACTCATATACCAGCATCCTGAAATCAAATGCGCACTGCCAATAATTAGCCAAATGCGACAAATCAAATGAATTTGAGGTTAGAAAATAGAATCTATAGAAATTCAAATGCACCTTTTAGGGCCTTCAGCACAATAGCCCACAAGACCAACGAGATTCTTATGTCTCACCCTTCCGATGGCTTCCACCTCCACCTTGAATTCCTTCTCTGCTTGACCCCTATAAAAGAAATTTAAGCCTTTGAAATCATTTTGTTCAAGGATTGCGAAGTAAAAAATGATTCTTAATATACATTAAAAAAAAAACAATAAATTTTGATGATGCTGAGAAGTACCATGCTTGTTGTAGACAAACCACCCCATCATCACAAGTCACTCAAACAAAATACAGCATTCGGATCCTCACCAAAACCTTACATTTTCAATCTTATCATAATCTCTATGCACAATCACAAGCAGAAGAAAGTAAATGACCAAGTAATGTAGAAAAAAATAAATTCAATTAGCTTATATTTACTTATCAGGCATGTTTCTACTCTCTGTTTCCTCAAAAAAGACATAAGCAGATCATTCTAGTGTAGTTTTCTTTAGGCGGTGTTTGGCTGCATCACAGATTTACGGTAAGTAAGATTTAGTAAATTCAATAGATCTTGATTCATCAAATCCATATTTTTGCAAAGAAACGCTCATGAGCCAAATCCCTTAGCTCCACCGGTGAATCGGATTTAATAAATTCGAATTTAACTAAAATTAGACTGAACTGACGAATATTTGATTTAATGGAACGTAGGATTTAAATTTCACATTTTTTGTGTTTGGCTAGATTTATGTTAAATCCAAGGCTACATTCGGCTAAGAGTATGCTACCAAAAGCCCCACTTAGAGTGAAAACAATAGCCAAACAAAAGAAGGATCAGACAATTTTTTTTAAAAAAAAATTTAGGCTATCAGGAGGGCCTTAATAAAACTTTTGAATTTGCTTTGTCAGCATGTTGTTTTATGGGTTATTTATCTACTATATTTATCTCAAAGCAAATTCAAGAAGATTAAAACTCGTGCTAAATTTTGATCAGGATACCTGATGCGGTTTCTTTCCTAGCACTAATTCAAACATGAGTTAATAGTTTACAAGTGCCGAAAATTTCCTACGAACGAAAGATCGCATAGATCAATCAATAGGACTTATTTCGGATAACAATCTAACCAATATCCAAGATAGACTGTTTGTCTGCAAAATATGATAATGCAAAAGCTAGATCCCTTGAATAGCTTTTTTACTTCAAATCTTAGACAAACAAAAATTAGCGAAGGGAAATGACGAAGAGTTCTTTTCATCACAAGTATGATAGATAAACAGAGCCCCATAAATAAAACTATAAAAAATAAAATTAATTAAGATCTGCTTCGAAACAGGAAGAAATTAAAAATCCAGTTTAAACGAAAAAGTAAACACCAAAATGGCATCAATGAGTCAGAAACTTACTTTTTATTCAATAGATTCTTGACGGCGACGACCGAGAGATCCGGAAGAACGCCCCTGTAGACGACGCCGTACCCCCCCTCTCCGATCACATTCCAATCGGCGAATCCACTCGTGGCCGCATCGAGCTCCGCAAACGTGAACCAACGCCCCCACCCAATTTGCGCGATCATCTCAGCCCCTGCTTTAGACCTAGAGCATTCTCCCACAACCACTTGTGTCCCCTTCTTCTCACTCCCTTCAAACCCCTTTCCTCCAATGCTTCCAGTTCCATCCAATCCTATATCTCCGATCTCCAACGAAAAGGCCGGGCTCAAGCCCGACGAGTGCTTCAACCGTGTCATCTTATGGCGCCGGCTAGTTGATCGGAGGAAGAGAAGCAGCGCCATAAGGACTCCTGTAAGGAGCGCTGCAACGGCTAGTGCGAGTAGAACGTAGAGGCGTAGACCAAGCACCGCCGTCTTCTCCGTGAGAATGTCACCTGATTTGTGGCCGCCGGCGCCCATTCCGGCCAAGCTCAGATCAATCAATCAACAATCACTGTATGCCAAAATTTGCCGGGAAAACGACGTTATGTTTCTGGTGAGCATGTTTCTTGAAGAGGAAGCGTAGTGTTGAAAGTTGAAACTGGAAGCTGGAGACCACGGCGATAAATGCCTCTATAATTAACTATAATTAGCGAAAATGCCACTGCGTTACAATCTTTTATTATTCGCTTTAAAAGTTGAGGGGGGGCGAATTGACCGGGATGGCCTCCCGGGCCCGGCAGATTCTTGTCGGTTTTTATTTGCCGTTGCGTCGCCGTCGGAGAGCTGCAAGGTATGGTATGGCCCAGTTAGGAAAGAGACCTGAAGATTGTCTTGGTGTTGCGGAGCTTGCGTTGCGGTGAGCAAGTGTGTTCTCACGGGAGGGTATCGGACCGCCTCGTCCTGTGGGGTTACTTTTGACATTTTGATGACATGATTCCGGCTTTTTAAACATATTTCTGACTATAACGAAGTGAAGTAGATTGGACGGAAACGGGACCGGACCCGCGGGGCCGAAGCCACGCTGCTTCAGATTTGTGTTAGGAAGACTTGGATTATTTATATCCTTTGGATCTGCATGGAGATATGTGATCGATGTGTGGGCACACATCTAAACGAGAATCCAACGGTGTAGAATCAAGTTACATTCTATGAAGCGAAGAACATCTGTGCCTTTGTGTGTCGTAGTTAATTTATTTTCAAGTTGCAAAGTTCGTGAGGTGGAGCGTACGCATGGTAGAACCGCATCCGCATCCGTGCATTTTAAGATATGAAGATTCACCCACATATGCCCCTTACTTCTTATTTATTTACATGCGTAACCCTTAAACTTTAATTTTTACATGTGCATCCTCTTATCTTTGTAAGAAAATATATATTTAACAATTTTTAATTAAAATAATAAAATTTTTGATGTGATCTGTTTAACCCTTAAACTTTAATTTTTACATGTGCATCATCTTATCTTTGTAAGAAAATATATATTTAACAAATTTTAATTAAAATAATAAAATTTTTGATGTGATCTGAAATTATTAAATTGTGATTTGTCTTTGAATCACTCCCAGTTAAGAGAAAGGTAATTGGAGAGATAAAGAGAGGTGAATGGCCAGGTGAGAAGTTAAGAGAGCTTTTTCCTTGTCCCCAACCAATGCAGAGCTGAGACTGAGAATCCGTAAATCTTTATTTTTATTTAATACCTCTTATTTATAGGGGTTGTAACATATTTATGTCTCTCATTCTTAAGTCTGTAGAAACATAAAATTATCTTCAATGATCATATTCCCACTAAAACATGTCTAAAACACATCGATAAAAATACTATATAAAATGTATACCGGGCGATTCCATAAAACCCAATTATATATAGATATACCAAATGTTTAAGAAAGACAAATCTAAAAAGAAATATATTAATTTCCTACTTATGATGCTCATAAATATATGTAAAATATGCTTGAAATATAATTAAATTTGCTCTACAATCAGATAAACTATTTGAATATAATACCTTTAATTTTTGTAAGTTAAAATTTTGCTCAAAACAAAACTGTTAAAATCAACAAATAAATAGAGCAACTAATCAACTACAAAATTTCAAAAAAAAAATAGTAAAGATAAATTAAACATGTAAAACTCACCATTTCTCAAAAATCAGATCATAGTGTGGCATCAATATATTATAGTAACAATCGTTACATACTATTCATTGATGTCATATTTGATCACAAGTAAAAAACTTTTAAAACGTCTGTAAGCGGTTTCCCATTTCAGTGCAGACACCTAGTTCTAGACGGTTGTGTAGTGCAACGCTAAGGGCATCCCCATAGAATCTAACATAGGTCACAAAAATTGACCTCACCATCTGAATGAATTAATGCCCATCATTTAAGTGGTAAACGTTAATTCAATCCTATGCTTGAAACTGTCATACAATATCTTGTAGTAATATAATAATTCACATTGCCTGATTGGATGAACAACATGCAATTCTCATTTTCCTATTACCACTAGTGGTCATATTAGGGTTTACAGAGTTCTGCCACTAATGTGTTGAGTTATGAAACCTATACCTAAAAGGGAATGTGAGCTTATTTGCTCGGATAAAGCAAACTGTTCAATGCATAAAAATGCAAAAAATGCACAATAAAGTGTCTTGAGGACTAAACCCCAAAGACACAAACTCAAAAGATTGACATGTGACAAACAAAATGTGAATGCAACAAATGCATTGGACATATGCAAGAAAATGCAACAACTATGACATGCAATCATACATGACACACAAAACCATATGTGACATGCAAGCATAAAAATCTCAATATAATCATACATGAAAAATATACTCACATAACTGAAATAACCTTTTCATTCCAGAGAAAACCCACCACAGTTCCACATAGGCGACACAGTGGTATTGGTCTTGTGACCTGGAGGAAGGTATGGTTGGTGCCTAGGCCCCAGTGAGGCGACCCACGACAACATCCACTGACATCTCC